AAAAAATTATTCAATTTAAACCATAGAAAATGAAAAAAAATCTGTTTTTAATTAAATATTCACTTTAAACCATAGAAAATGAAAAAAAAATGTCTTTACCCTGGAAATATTTTCACCACCTTTTTTTTGTTGTATCACTATATTTGTAGTACTACTGTATGAAGATTGTTTACAAAATAGTGGCATATACCTCTTCTCATCTTTTTAATAAGTTACGTACCAATCAAAGGTATAAATGTATAATATTTGCATCTAGTATCAAAAGGATGCAACTGCTCGAAAATTGACTTTTAGTTAGCAAAAAACCATCATGTAAATAACAAAACAAAAGGTTATAGTATTAGTTTTCTTTTTTAGTAGTTTAATTGTGTTTTGTTTATTATGAATTTCCTTTATATGTTTTCGCATCATAAAATGAAAAATAGGAGTTCTGGAACAAATTCCAAGAATAAGAACTTAGGATGCGGTGAAACCCAAGCAATCTCCAATGGGCCCCGCATACCCCAACATGGAGACATATTGACATCTTTCGAATTATTAATTTTCATGAATTGTTTTTTTTTTATGAACACTTTATAACCATAACTTTCTTTTTTATTTCTTTTTTTTTTTCAACTCCATAACTTTCTTTTTTTCATAACTTGTTCTACAAAAAAACTCCAAAATTACCTTTTCATTACATTTAACCAGTATTAACGAATTTCATTTTCCAAATGATCATCATGGTGAGGACGAGTTGTTTGATAAATGAGTAAGTGACAAAATAAAAAGACGTACGAAATCTACAGTCTCTTCAAAACGACAAAACCATATCAGTGTCAATATAGGAATCCTAGGAATCTGTGTTACGACGTACAGAAACCTTAGACTAACCCAAATGCAACGAGTAATGTACATATCCTATAATCCTAACAAATTAGGTAATAATTTTATTTATGGTAAATATGAAATAATCTGGACGTCAAACAATTAAGTATGCTTGCTATTATTTGAGTGTAAAAATTGCATTCACATACTGTTTATATGTAAATTTGACTTGATGTTTATAATTAATTACACAGTGACATCCCGAGCACATGAAAAGCTTAACTAATTAATAAGATCGAGGATAGAAAAGTGGATATAAAGCTAAAAAGATAATAGAGTCCACTGAAGATTCATCAGATGTTAGTTATATATATATATATAATCACGTGACTTGATTTTGATGAAACAAGAGCATGTATATACGAGTTACATGAGCGTTATTATAAGAAATTATATCCAAGCTATGTGGTGAATATAACAACGTCTTCAATATATATATATATATATCTATATAACCATGTTTCGTTTGGCTCTAACATATTAGATGTTATAATCATATTCAAATGTAAACCCTTTTGCCCAAAACAAACAGTATATTCAAATGTAATTAGGTTTATAAGACAAAGTACCTTTTATAACCCAAGTACATTGTTTTCTCCAATTTGATCAGTAGAATTATGCTATACGTGACATGTGCATATACACATAATTTATGAATGTTTGGTTAACTCAACCATTTTAGGAATAAAAGTCATGTTTCAAGACTGTATTAGGTCATCTCCAATGGTTAGCACTCTTAAAAGATGCTTAACCAATTTTATATTAGTAAATTTTATATTAGTTTTTTTTTGTTTAAGCACCTCTACTAATTTTTTTTAATTTTCCACCCTCCAATGAGAGATGCTTGAAGTGGTCGTCATGCACAATATTGCTCTCAACCCTGAAAAAAAAAAACGAAATCAATTCATCACAAATCAGAAACAAATCAAAATTCCAAATCAAAATCACTAAAACCCTAATCAAAATCCCTAAACGAAATCAATTCATCACAATTTGCTTTGTTATATGAGTACCCAAGTAACCAATTCATCAAATAAATTCAGTGAAATCGAAAAAAAGAAAGAAGAGATTCCAGAGATAATCGTACTTCTTCTCCTCATCTCGATAAACCCAGAAATTTGCAGAGCATCCTCTACTCCAAACGCCGAATCTATTCGCCTCTACATGCAGGTACAATTGTTGAGAACAGTTTCGAAGGAGGGGAGAGATAGCAGAAGGAGAGATGAATCGAAGGAGAAGGAGGGATGAATCGAAAACGAAGAGAGAGGAAAATATGTCCAAAGAGAAAAAGAAATAAAAGTAAAAAGAGTATTATATCTCCACCAATCAGATTCGACAACCCCAAGGGTGTTTAGAGCATTTCCATCCATGTACTCCAATTCATGGGTCTTTTAGAAATAATTTAATATTTTTTTTGGAGAGAGAGAAAAAAAATTAAAACATTAAAAAAAGAATAATTTTCAGCCAATCACAGCTCTCCACCTGGCGTAAGAGACAGTCTCTTTGTCTCTTATATAAGGAGCGATCCATCAAAATTTAGGGAAAATACCTAGGTTTCTGTGCCTAATATTTGCTAAGAGATGCTAATGGAGATGCTCTTAGAGCATCAGCAATGGAGCAACCCATTTTGGAATGCTTAGCAATTAAATATTATTAAATACCCCAAGCATCGATGCTTATGGATCTCAAATAAGCATCGCTTCTTCAGTTTAATTACATTTTTCTTTTTTTTAGGGGTTAAGCATCGATGGAAAACCTCCGTTGCTGATGCTCTTAGAGGTGCTTAAAATGCTTAGGGAAGCACCGCTGCTAAACAAAATTAACATTAAATCTTTTTTTGGGCAAATAAAATCTTAAGCACCCCTTAAGCATTCCTTGTTGGAGGTGCTCTTAGATTTCTCGCAATCTAGATGATGTGACATGCATTCTGTTTTTAAAAAGATATTTTACGTCGATTAGTCCACCAGGAAAACAAAAACAAAACAAGCTGGTATTACAAAAATCATTTAGTTTTAAATGATTAACTAGATTCTAACCCTGTGCATCTGCACGGGAATATTTTTATTGTTTAACGAATTTTGTAATATAATTTATATTTTTGAGTTTAGATATAATTATTTTTATAAATATATTTTTTAATAAGTGAAATATTGATTTTTGTGTTTAGATATATTTTTATAATATTAAAATTAATTATGATTGTAAAATATAATTTTAACCCGTCCGCTAATATTAATTCAAAATGAACTATTATAAAAACATAATTCTAATTTTTCCGTTCGTATTACCGTATAATATAAATATTTGTTAAAAATTTGAGATGTATTAATAGTATTATTTAGCATTATAGTTTTCTAAAATTTAATCAACGAAGAGAGTGTAAAACTGTTTTTCAAACCACATTATAGTGTATGCAATAATTTTTAATTTTTTTATGTTTTTATTTTGTATGAAAAATATATTTTCGATATACATGTATAATTCAAAATTAGTGATATTAGTTACCAAAATATTTTTAACCCGGTTTTTAATATATATTTTTAGTTCTATCAATTTTAAAAAATATTTTTTAATATTTAAACTATACATTTAAATTTTACCTATTATTTTATTATTAATTTGTAAATAAATCATAATCATAAATATATTATATAAACAACATAAATATCATATCATTTACATCATTATAAATATTTTATATTTCAAATATGACCATTATTTTTCATATGTGAATTTTTTTCTTTCAAAAATTCTAGATATTTTTGATAAAAATGTTTAATAAAGTATAGAAATTATTTAAATTAGAATCTTTAAATCAAATCTAAATTAATATCTGATTTATTATTATTTATCAAATCAAATCAAATCTAAATTACCTATATTTAAGGAACTCTAAAAATATTTAAATTAATAACTAATTTTCGAAATTAAATATAAATAATTATTAAAATTATTTTTAAACACTTAAAAAAAATTAAGAGTGTTTGGAAGCAAGTACTAAATGTGCTTCTGTTTTAATATAATAGATAATACTAAAACAAAATTGTTAAAAACTAAAGAAATGATTTATCTATATAAAATTTTGAATATTCGCTACTTTTTATGCTGATATAACTTATTTTATTTACAAAGAAGTTAAAAAGTGAAAAAGACATGAATCTGAGTATGGAGAAAGAAGGATTTCTTTTTGGCTAAAGACTAAAGTTTTGATAATTATTATATAAAGGATAAGAGACAGTGATTAATTATATTTGTGTGGCTTGTATGTAAATGCATAAATGCAGAAATATATACATATGTTTTGTCATTGGATCCCTCGCACAAAGTGCGATTATATTTCATTTTCTCTGGTTGGAGTTAGGACCCACATGATTTTATACTAATGCTAATGATGTATACATAATTTACGCATTGTAGAGTGCATTGATTTTGCTTGCCTAAAAAAAGTATATATTGGTTTATATATAGACTAGTTATTTCCGGTTTAGTAAATACTACTGTATAGGTATTATTATGTACAGAGTAGAGTAGAATATATATTGAATTGTACAGCTCATTATCCAGAGTAATGAGAATAATTTTCCCAACAAACTTTTTTCTCGTCGTCTTCCTCATTTTAACAACTAATATGGTATCAGAGCTATCATAGCTCGAATTTCTTCTCGATTTCCTTCATTTTCGCCATTTCTGAGCTCGGATTCGTCTTCTGAGTGTTCGATTTCATATATCCATGGTGTCTGTGAAGAATCTCCGAAGATCCACTCGTGTCAGAGCTCAAAATCGTTCTGAGCTATTAGATCTTATAATTCATCCATTAACATATTTACAGAATTGGTTATATATAATATATTTTCAATAGAATTTCTAAGACGCTTTTCTTTGTTACAGACTAATAAGAAATTCAATTTCTTTGAAATTCAAAATGGATTTTTATTGGAGGGGGGTTTTATCACTCTCAAATAGTCGGGGGTTGTTAGAGACGATGATCTGTCTGGCTGAGTGGGTGTGTTTTTTTATTTCTTTTTCTTTAGCAAACTTTACAAAAAAATATAATAATACTAATTAATTAATAGCTAAAGTCCTTTCTTTTTTCACGGTCTGCATGCGTTCCTTGTCTATATGGATGGAGAATTGGAGATGTCGCTCTTTGCTATATATCAAGCACACACACAAATATCAAACATACACTCACACAAAGATCTTAATCTAATTTTTCGGCTCCATATTAATTTACAGCATATAGACCGATCAGGTCTTGTTGTTGTTTCTGATATAATAGTCATTAATTTGTCTTTAAATTTTACTCGCCCTTTCTTAGTTTTCTGTTTCTCTCCCTGCTTGTGAAGATGCCAGACATGAAGAGTTTTCAGTTATTGCCTGATGACAAAGATATCGCAGCCATGCAACAACCCGAGAGTCTCCTAGTTCCATCAAAACCTGAGTCTCCAGAGCCATCATTATCTCCACCTCATCCAAAAAATCAATCTAAAAGAGATCGAAACCACCAACAACGAGATCAAGAACAAGAAAAACTCCAAGATGAATCTAGAAGCAAACGAAAATGGGGATGTAATGATGAAACTTCTCGTATAGATGAGATATTAGAGACGCCGAAGAATATGGACATAAGGTGTTATGGTCCTCCTCGGCCGCCGAGAAAGCCCAAAGCTACTCCGGCAATGAAAGGGAGAGCCATGTGGTTAAAGAGATCGGTTGTTGTCTTGGATGTAGCTAGAGAGGTCGAATCCATGTTTCCACCGTCGGTTCTTCAAGATTTTGGTAAAAAGATCAAGAAAGCTAGATCTTGATATAGTTCTCTATATATTTATATGTAATATGCAATTCCACAGGGTTGTTTTTTCTTTTTATTTTTTTCTTTTCGGTTTGCGATACCTACAAGTTTATACGCTACATCATTGTGTTTATTTTAAAAACATAATTTAGGGTTTTTATCAGACTTATATGAAATCAAATTCCGTTCGTTTTTGAAGATTTCGGTCCTTCTTAATGCAACCTAAACGCAAAGTTTGCGTTTGAAATAATAACGGCATGATTGTCTTGAGTATAGTTAGATACTTTAGATTAATGTTCAGTTGAGATTTCTAATCTTGTTAGATCAATTGAGCCATTTGGATATACAGATTTTTCGATTATCCTCGTTTAACGATTAGAGTCCGGTATGTACATTTATCTCTTAACTACAGACAGTCAGACACCCAGTCTCTTTTTTATCAGATTCCCAACTGATCTTAGAAAATATTCTAATCTTCTTTCATAATATTTCATATAAACGTTGCTCCAAAAAAAATCGATATATGATTAATCAGCATATAAAAGAAATAATCTAAGAGACATATGAATTCTTTTTTTTTAAATGGCGACCAAAAACATTTGTACATACTTTTCCTCTCTCTCTCTATATCTAAATATATATATATATATATATATATATCTCACACACATGACATCTATATAGGATTTTAACTATTATAACATAAATTGATAATTTTACTAGTTTCTCTGCCAAAAGTATTTTGATTTCCCAGTTAACTCTTAGTTTTCAAGTCTTGTTAGCAGAATTATTATAATTGAAACAACAACAAAAAAACTAAAAATCTTTACAGCTAACATCAAACAGAAGGAGTGAGATCTATGTTTGTCTCATATCCAAGATCTCTGTTTGTCCCTCCACGTTTCTACTTCCCGTTAAAAAAAAAAAAAAAATTTGGAGGATCCTAAGTTGATATGCATGTCCATAAAACCATGGATATGGTTAAGAAGTTGACTTTTCGTTTAGATTGAATCTTCAAATTTTCAGAGTAATTGACTTTTGTCCCCCCCCACCCCACAAGCAAACATGCGTCCCGTGTTGATCATCCCCATACTTATCTTATTTTTTACGAAAATATTCCTCTCTCGAGGTAAATCACACTTTATAGTTTACTTTATATAATATTATACAAATATTATAATCTACAAAACTCACTTGATTCATTTAATTTATCACTCTATATATATCCAAGACCCACAGTATATATTTTATATATGTATATGTAATACGTGTATATAAAAAGCTTAACCTGAAGATATACATTGTATTGGCATGGCATTAGAGCATCTCCATTGAGGGATTATAACGAATTCATAGCACAGTTACACATGGGCCTAACCTTTTTAAAATATTAAAAGTGGTCCAAAACTTAACATACGGGTGTTTGCTTAACATACTGAGGGAAGAGGTTTATAGGCGACGTGGCAAAATGGTATTAGCAGCGTGTTTTTTTTTTTTTGAACCAGAAGCCCACTTTTTTACATTGCCCACAATCATTTTCCCCAATAGAAAATGAAAACGGATTCACTGCTGAACACTAATTACAACACTAAATTCATAACTGTTCACATACTTTAGAAATATTAATAAATAATTGTTAACAACCCCAAACAGAGTATGACTGCTTGAGATGGTCTTAGGCCATCTCCAACGCAAGCTCACTCCAGTATGATAAGTGAGTCCCTGCATGTTTTTTGGATTTAAAAATTAAAAACAAAGTCCAAATTCAATGATACTGTATGAGTAGAGTGAGTCTGATGAACCCGTATGACTAGGGTATCACTGGACATGTGGCATTTTCTTATAGGCTGGTGTATGAAGGTAAAAAAATTCTTGAAACAGAGCATCTCTTTCGTTTTTAAAAAATTTTGCTTCATTTTCTTCCTCATTTAGCCATTTTTCCGATTGTGGTTGCGATTGTTTGACACCGTGAAAAAGCGTTCGGATGTGGTTGGAGTTTTTTCTGCATGGCGGTTTGCTTCCAAGGAAGTACGGCAAGGAGATCGAGCTCTGCAAATTTCGCCGTCGTTTAATTTTTAATTTCCTCGTCAAGGATTTTGTAAACGGAAGCGATCTTATTTGAGTGTTTCCATGAGATGAGAAACGGAGGTAAATGGGGAGATTGAGAACAGCTTTTCTAGATCTCTCTCGTTGTTTTGTCTGTGTTTCTGAGGAGATTATCGTTCTAGACGGTGCGATTCGCTTTCGATTCTCCGTCTCCATTAACCGAAACTCCATCGATTACGGCGAATCTCACGGCGGCGATGTGGTGAATTCATTGTCTTTTGATTTCGTTATGATGATACAAATCCAGTAATGTATGAATCAAATTCGTTGAATTTTTGAAGTTGATCTTGATTTTCTGATAGGTAGAGCAAACATGGATTCATTGTAGAAAAGAATTGAAAGATTGTCTTCTCTATACCCCTCTTGATTTTTGAAGCTGATTTTGATTTCTGCTATTGAATTTGATTGCTTTCGTTTTGACTTCTGTTCCAGTTCTACCTGATTTTGTTGGATTTGATTTGGTTTTCTTGCTGGTGAGTTGTGAAATGTGAATTAACGGAGATTTGTTTTGCAATTTTCTGTGTGTGGCTCCTCGAGAATAGAATGGACTCAAGTATGACTCAATATGAAATTGTTTTCAATTTACCAGCTGCTTTCTCAATTTTGAAATATAGAATATGATTTTGGTAGAATGGAATATCAAACGCTTGGAGGATGTTCTTCAAGCATCTGCATCTATCTCTACTAAGTATCTGCTTCATTAAGTTTTCATCTTGATTTAAGTCTGATCCTAGCTGCCATTTTTATTGTGGTTTTGTGTTTGTGAGGACATATGCAGGGTTTACTATCATTACACTTCTTGTCATTTGCATTTTTTATTGTGGTTTTCATCTAGTGTTTGTCTCTGAATTTCTGTTTTATTGCTCTCTGTAATCGAACAGTTTCTGATATGGGTTTTGTTTTGAGTTTTGCGGGAGGATGATATACTAAGGAAGCAAATCAGTGTATATAGAATTAAAATGTTATTATTTTATTTTGTTGATATTCAAAAACAGGTTTAGAGTTGGAGGTCATATTTTGATTGGAGATCACTACTGTTCCAAAAAACAAAAAAAACTAATATAAAATGCCTATAAACCCATGGTTGGAGATGCCCTTAGAGGTGAGTTACAGACCTGTTGTTGAAACTGAAAAAAATAACAACATCAACATCAATCTTATAGCTGTTGTGCATAAATATTTAAATGTTATCAATTATCACAGCAATAGAATAGTATCATTTATATTCTTTAGTTCCTATCTAACACATCAATAAGATCAATTATACAAGTACTACTAAAAGCCTGATAACATCAGTGTAGATTCCTACGGATATATTTTCTAGATACATATATAATTACAATATCACATACACTTAAAATATTCGACATAAATTCTTGCTCACCAAAGTGAAATAGCAATGATGTGGGTCTCTACTAGCTAGTATCTAGTACGTACATTTATTGCCTTAATTAGTTTTTCTTCATATATTGGCCTGTAAAGAACATATCGAGTAGTGATGTTTTTATAATTTTTCAAGTTGTTAAGTTAGTAACTTTAAAACTAAAAAAAAAAAGTTATTTGACAACGTCTTTTCCAAGCACAATACAAGTTATTATCGTCTTATAACATTTTTTTCATCCAGTTAGAATATTCTTAGGGTTTGTAGTAGGTTTTGCTCTCAATAACCTATTATTTCAGAGTTTAAGAAATAATGTATTTTTTTGTAATTACAGCTGATGTCTGTACGATTCTAAATCTTCAACTTACAGCAATGAGTCAGTGACCAATCAAAGGCTTAATTACGAGGTTCTTTCCAAAACTTGTCTATTCTAACTCAAACGAGAGAAGCTATCCGAACAGTATTACTTTCACGTATCAAACACTTTCCCAAAATTGACAGTATGTCAGGTATGGGTTCAAAAGAAAGATCCTTGACTTGAAAACTGGAATTTAGATTATGCCTAGACCTCTTTAACAATGACGTCCGATATGACTCATTTATTTTATACGCCAATAAATCTGCCATCTAATGGCTGACATGAAAAAATTAACAACTTGATTGATTGAAACTGAAAAGTACTTTTCAATCACTTGTTTTTCGTTTGTTATTTTGCTACAAGCAAAATTGAGATGTTTCACAGTTGCCCATTTAGTGTCTTTAAGTTTAAATGGGCCTTTCCATTCTAAACTCCACTCGTAAAGATATAAAACGACGTTGCTTGAAGAAGAAATCAAAATCAAATTGAAAAAAGGTTATTTGAACTTTGAACCTACGTTGTTTCTAAATTATGTTAGTGAGCAAGCAAAGCAAACTTATACAACACTGAGAAGTAAAACTAAGCTACTGATGCGATGTCTTTCTGCTCCTTTTTCCGAAAATTTTACGTACTAAACTAAGTTTAAGTTGTAATTATCAAGAAATAGTTGATTAGGAAAAGAGGACCTAGCTAGACGAGAAGTGAAAGACGGAATTGAACTGCAGAAGATAATACCTATATATATCTTGGATCAAGTCTTTTATAATGGCCAAATAAGTTAATTATATTGATTCCAGTCGAGACCACAAAACTACAAGTGTTAGTTGAGTTGTCTTTTCATACATATATAGTTATATACTAGCATAGAATAATCAATTGGTAGTAATGGCAGTTCAAATGTTTGTTTTGTCGGCAACAATTGATCACTAGAGAATGGAAACTTTAACTGATAGTCTAATACATATCTAGATTCGACTTCGACTGACTACTGCAATTTATATGGCACAATTGTACTTATTTATCAAAAGTTTCTAATTATATAAAAAAAAAATTGATGATAGTCAGAACTCAATTACGATTTCAGATCAGTTTCAAAATAGAAATTCTACCATGAGGCCAGCGTTGATAGATAAAGCAAGAAAAGAAGAAGCTTTAGAGATTTTCCGATGATAATGCAAATTTGAACAAAAGTGTGGCATAAATGTTTTTTGCGTTTGTTTGAAATAAATGTTGATTGTCTAATTTCCTTATCAATATGACGATGTAG